CCCCCCTCTCCTCCCTCCGTGTTGTATGTTTACATACAGGACCACCCCTGCAGTAGGGTCCTCCTCCGTGTATTATAACCACCAGTCTGTGTCTTGGCCCCTTGGAGGGTGGGAGGGCGCTTGTGTTGTGTTAACTTGTGGAACTCCCTGCCGGTGGAGGCTGAGAGGCTTTGGGCTAATCAGTGGTGTTTGACAGGGAGCAAGATGAATCCCCACAGAGTGCCTGGGAGCACATCTGGCAGAAGTGGTCTGGGCTCTCAGATCCCCATCATGTGGGATATCTCCTGGACGGAACCAGGGGTGACTGGGGAGTGTACCATCCTTGCAGCAAAACTGAGGTGGCCCTAGGGCCGGCCCGAGCGCTTCCCCCCCCCTCCCCATTAGCCCTCACACATGTAGCCCAGGGACATGTGTGGCTGCAGTGAGGAGGGGCTCAGTGGGGCCCACGCTCACAGGGCTGTGACGCTGCGGTTTTCCCAGGAGCAGCTGGCTGTGCACAGAGCCCAGGCATGGGACAGTGTGCCATTCTGTGTGCTGCACCCTTGCGGAGGTGCGGGCTCTGGCCTGAGCCCCTGGGGCCCTGGCTGGTTCCAGCCGGCATCCACCCTTCCACCCTGGTCCCGTCGGATGTGTGTGAGCAGCACGGTCCCAGGCATGCCCTGGAGCTGCCTGCCACGGCCACATGGTTGCACGTGCTGCATATTGCCTAATGCTACACAGCCCATGCTGCTCATGTGGCCTGAGTGATGTGCTCTCCCCCTCTCCCCTCCGGCCCCCCCGCCCCGGCCCTTGTGAGTGCAAAGTGCAACACTCACCGGTGGATCCTTCCCCGGCCTCCGAGGACACACGGGAGACGTTGGGGCTGCTGGAGGAGGCCTGCAGGGTGACAGTGCTGACCTCGTCCTCTGACCCACTGCTGGTGTCTCCTTTTCCCACCTCGGTGATCCTGGTGACAGGGGTGGGGGGGGACACACGCACACTGGTGTCCACAGGGACATCCGGTCCCTGCAGTGCTGGCTGGCCCAGGATGCGGTGGAGCCGTTGGTAGTGGGGGCAAGTGTCAGCTCCTGCACCCTGGCCCTCGCTGGCCCTGACATAGCCCAGGCGCAGTTCTTTGACTTTAGCCCGGACTTGCTCCAGGATCCAGGCTGGATGTCCCTGCTGGGCAAGCGCCTGGACCATGCGATGAAATATGTCTGCGTTCTGGCGCCGGGAGTGGGTGCTGTGTAGGGTCTCCTTCTCCTGCCAGAGGTCCAGTAGGGCCTCCAGCTCCGCCGGGGACCAGGACAGGACTCACTGTTTCCGGGCCCTTGGGGCCTCCTGCGCTGGGGGTGCGGGTGGTTGATCCCCCCCCGGAGCTGCCATCGTGCTCTGGGTGGCATTGGGGACAGCAGGGGCCACGTGGGTCAGCAGAGTGTGGCAAAGGTGCTTCTGCCTCATGGCCTCTGCAGGCTGCGTCTGCCTTAAGGGGCTCGGGTTACCAGGAAGTCTGGGAGCTTTCTGCTGCTACGGAACCTCCAAACGGCCACTAGGGCTTTTTTCCATTTATCCTGCTTTTCCGCAAAACGTCTTAGCTGCCTGTCTACACTGGCCCTCTTGCGCAAAAACATTTGCACAAAAGGGCTTTTTCCTGAACGGGAGCGTCAGAGTATTTGCACAAGAAGCACTGATTTCGAACAGTAGAATGTCAGTGCTCTTGCGCAAATTCTCGCCGCCAGTGTAGACAGGTAGCAAGTTTTTGCGCAAAATCACCTGCTTTTGCGCAAAATCTTGCCAGTCTAGACGCACCCATATAATGTTTTGACTGCCTTGCTGTAGTCCACATCTAAGTAGTTGCATGGCTTTTATCACGGCTACTGTACCTGCACTCTCTATTTTCACTTCCACCATAGTTGACTCAGTATGATTAGCAATAGTTATGTATCAGAGGGGAAGCAGTGTTAATCTGAATCTGCAAAAGCGGCGAGGAGTCCTGTGGCACCTTGTAGGAGCATAAGCTTTTGTGGGCAAAGACCCACTTCGTCAGATGCATGTGACGAACATGAACATGCATCTGACGAAGTGGGTCTTTGCCCACAAAAGCTTATGCTCCTACACTTCAGTTAGTCTATAAGGTGCCACAGGACCCCTTGCCACTTTAGCAATAGTTATGATTTTCTAAAACATCACATATGATTCAATTAGTAGATGTTCTCTCCTATGGGGCACAACTAATTTCTCCAAAGAGCTGATCTCAAATTATTTTATGACACGTTGCCAAGAAATATCACACTGACAATTGATTTCCTTAAAGTAGGAATCTGTTGACTCCTCTATTGTTTTCTTCACGCTGACAGAATTTATAGCATTTTGCTACCACATATGCTGTCGGCACATATGCAAATCTTTAATACATTGAGTGCAGTTTAATTTTTCACTCAAAAGGGAAGAGTCTGGAATATAAGTGCTCCTAGGCAGTAAATAAGGAGAACATATTTTCTAGATTTGGAAAGTTCTTTGTCATTAATTCCAAGAGTGTAGGGCTCAAATATGCTATTCCACATTTTAAAAAGCAATTGGAAGCTCACCTAGTCTTTAAGGAATGGGTGCAGGTGGAGTCAAGGACAGAAGGGCCATCCTTATTTCCAGTTTGTGGAGTAGCAGAGGCAAAAGCTGAAAAAGTGAAATATAACAAGGTTTTGTTTTATTATAAATCATTAATTATTATTTATTCGTATTATTAAAACAACATACAGGCAGCTCCAGAAACAGTTACAGGAGCAGAAGCTTTTCCAGATCAGCTGTGTCACATACCTATTTATGTTTTCTGACAAAGTTTAAAAAACAAACCACTAAGACGACCACTCCCAGTATGCAATACTGGGTGTCGCACTGCCACATATCCCTATTTCACTCCCCACCAACCTCTGCCTAATGAGAAGGGATTTGAATTTGGGCTACCCACCTTCCAGGTAGGACTCTTATCACTGGTTGACAGAATCACTCATGCCCAATGCGTATTTAGTTTATAGAAATTTAAACAGCTTCAGCAGAAGAGCTTGAGAGTGTCCCACTTTAGTGTGGAGTTAGATATGCTCAGATCATACAGGATAGAAGGAGAGGGAGACACCTAGTTTCACCTGGTTTAAGAATCCCATTGCGACTTAGATGAGATACACTGTAGGCATCTATGTTGTGCACATTCACAGCAATGGAAACATGAGTGCTTAGGGAGCTTTTCCAGTGAAAACATAGGCATCTCCAGAGTTAGCTGAGCAGTGGTTTTTAGGATCTTAGGGTATGTCTACACTAGGCCCCTAGTTCGAACTAGGGGGGCTAATGAGGGCGTCCAAAATTGCAAATGAAGCACGGGATTTAAATATCCCGCGCTTCATTAGCATGTTCCTGGGTGGTCGCCATTTTGGAAACTGACTAGCCCGGAATAACTGCCCACATCTACACGTGGCAGTGAAATGGGAGTTTGAAGTAAACCCCTAGCTCAAATTAGCTGTTACTCCTCATGGAATGAGGTTTAACAGCTAATTTGAGCTAGGGGTTTACTTCAAACTCCCATTTCACTGCCACGTGTAGATGTGGGCAGTTATTCCGGGCTAGTCAGTTTCCAAAATGGCGACCGCCCAGAAACATGCTAATGAAGCACGGGATATTTAAATCCCGTGCTTCATTTGCAATTTCGGTCGCCCTCATTAGCCTCTCTAGTTCGAACTAGGGGGCTAGTGTAGACGTACCCTTAGTGGCACCTACATTTTGGACTTCAGGTAGGGTTACCATATTTGAACTTTCAAAAAAGAGGACACCCCTGAGAGGGAGTGTATCTGTATCCGTATCTACCAACTCACGTCGTATTTCTGTGTTATATATTATAAAAACACATAAATACAACATGGGGTGGTAGATATGGATAGAGATACATTAATACAACGTGAGTTGGTAGATACTGATACACCCCTGAGAGGGAGTGTCCTCTTTTTTGAAAGTTCAAATATGGTAAACCTATATGAGCCAAATTGAGAGTATATACTTAGTAAATTACAAATTTAATTTAGGTTTAATTTTGTGCTTAGAAGTATTGGACGACCTTATAGAAACCCTGAGCTTTAATTCTATACTCTGACATTGTTTAAGTATATTATCCATGTAGTAATTCATAATATTTTTATACCAGCTAACGGCAAAATGAGGTCATTCACGACAGTGAAGATTTAAATAATTATTTTTACAAGAATTATGCTTACTTTAAAGGTTTCATTGTAATGCAAGATTATTTATGTTTAACACATCATGTATCACTACTGCTGTACTATTTTTCTTTTTCTATTTCAAATAGAACACCAAGAAAGGCCAATCAACACATTATAACAAAAGGGAAGATGAAACGATTTGCATTAAAGAATCTGTTGTTCAGTAAGGAGCAATATTTTATATTATGAGGCCTGTCTGGAGATTTTACTGACTTGCATCCCACAATGTATTATAATTAATTTGAAGAGATATTTAGAGCTCACTGAAAAAGATAATCTGTCATAATCCTCTGAAATAGTCTGTCAGCACACAGCTAACTTCAGGAAACTTGTCTACATATCAAATATTACCAACAAAACCAGAATCACAAACGATCCTTTTGCTTTTACTTTGGGCAGAAAGGATGAAGAATAGATGTACATAGAGACCCAACAACCTTCTCACCACTAGTCTAGGTCTCTCAAAGCTGATTCAAAACACCTCAGAGAAATGTATACTGCCTTGTAGTATCTCGTGCTATTAGAGAATGGCTCTGCAGAGTCCGGTCTCCATTTTCCCTTCTCTTGGGGCTCCTGAAGAACTCCACACAGTCCAAAGTCAGGAGGACAAAATTTCCCTTTTAGAGTTCTACATTTTAAAGTTTGTATAAACTAAAATCTGTTCACTAGACTCAAAATAAAGCCTTCCTGGGCTGTATCCCTCTTGAGTTCAGGAGGTTGCATAGCCCTCCTTCCTTGGAGACTATTTTTCTGACCTCCACCCCTGCTTTCTTCAGGAACCCTTGCAGCAGTTCTCCATGTAGCTTTCTCTTATCTCCATGGAGTGATCAGTGGAGAGCCCTGCCTCTGTGCAGTATCACAGATGCAGTGGACCACGCTCTCAGAGCACATCTTTATAGCAGTGTTATTTCAGAGTAACTGACATTATTCCAATATAGAAGTCTGTGTCTACACTCAAGCAGTTGTCAAAATAATGTCGAGCTGGAAGACTTCTTACTCCAACTCCTGTAGCTCTGATTTTACGAGGAGTAAAGGAAGTCGAAGAAAGAATGCTCTCTCTCGGACTTCCTGTTGTGTAGACAGCGCCAAAAGTTGAATTTAGCTATTTCGATTGATGTAGCTCAAATTGCATAGCTTATTTTGGCTTTAGCCCTGCTGTGTAGAGGTGTTCTCAAAAAGGCCAAGCACCCTGTGTCATGCTCCTGTGTTGTATTTGACTGGGGAAACACAAAAGAAACAAACAAACAAAAACCTTCCTTCCTACATATCTTGTCCTCCATCCCAAAGTATTTCCTCCAAACCTTTCAGAATTAGAAGAATTAACTTTTTTCCACATGCTTCTCAATTGCCTGAGTTGAGCCAGAAACCAAAGTGCCAAAAGAACTAGTTCCTGATTTCCATCCTATTTTTGCAGCCCCAGAAAGGTGTAGAACAGCTTTGACAGTTTAACAAAAACATTTGAATTTCTGGATGCTTCACTGAATTTAACTTCCTATCCTTTGCTCACAAATAGACTTCACCTTTGTTGCTTATCTGGCACTCTCCATAGTCACTACATTTGCTTAGAAATAATTAAAGAGAACAAATCAACCACAGGCATTTTGCTTAAATTCTAGCTTCTCCTGGGTTGTCTCTCTTTCTTCCCAGTTCCCCTCTTAGATGAAGACATTTGGGAAAAAACAAACAAAAGACAGAATACACCATGTACCTTGGTAGAATAGTGTATTGCATGAAAACATATGCTGTGTCTTACAGAAATAATTGCACAGTAAGCCCTAGTTCTTAAAACTAGTTCACCACAGTAATTAAAAGAGCTGTTAACCTGACTTAATTCCCAGTTAGGACTTTCTAAAAAACTCATTTTAAGAAACAAAAGTCAATGTCTCCCTGGCCATTTTAAATATGAGCTCAAGCTCCTGTTAATTTAATATATTAAATTAACGGGGGGCTCCTGCATATATGATTTTATGTGATGTTTTAATATTTCATCCATGGTTTAATGGTTTTAAAATAATCAGTCTTCAAAACCAACCTGAGAAGTGAAACACATTAAGAAATTGCTGTGTTCAGACTGCTGTGACCTTATGTAGATGGCCCAGTTACTAACCTCTACAATTTGTATTATATGTTCACAATACAGCATTTTTCAGGGGTTGGGGGAGAAAAAGACTTAGTCATAAAGCCTCCTTTGACCCAGACTAATAAATAAAATGAAATACATTTGTAACACTTCTGCCAGGTAGTGCCAGCAACAGCCAGGGCTGGGTTCAATATCTAGGGGTCCCTTTTCTACCATCTCACACAGAACCGGCTCGAGATCCCTCCCAGTAGCCTGGGAAATTCACACATCCCTGTGCGCCTCTGAGAGGCAATGCTTCCCCACTCACAAGCACAGAGTCTGAGTGTAGAAAAGAAACTTTTAATGAAAGAGGGAGAGGTTACATGGAATTAGCTTGGGAAAATACCACAAAAAGAGTTCATAACCCCCCCTCGAGTAACCATCCCAGCTCAAATGGATCAAGCAATGTCCTTTGCCTCTCAGGCTCACTAGTCCAACAATGTAAGGGTTCAATTCACTTACCCAAACTTTCTCCATACCCCACTTCAAACATCCACTTACAGCATCGTCCAGTCAGTGTGGACCCTGACGCATCACCCGGAGAACTCCACTCATTGAGCCTGAGGCCATGCCACCTTTGTGTTGCTCCTGTGATCCGCTTGCACCACCTGTCACTTCTCCTACCAGCTGCCCGCTGGTCGTTCCCACCAGCTGCCTGCCATTCCTGCCAGCTGCTCTGCTGGCTGCAATGGATCTGGCTCCAGGCCAAACCAGTGACTTCAGCTATTAGTGATTTCAACTCTTTAGCCACCAGCTAGACTGGCAAAAGATTCCAGCTTCCACTGAAATAGCAAAAAGAATCCTGATGGGCTGTGTCTACACTGGCATGAATTTCCAGAACTGCTTAAAACGGAATAGTATTCCGTTTTAAGTTTTTCCGGAAAAGGAGTGTCTACATTGGCAGGCTGCTTTTCCGGAAAAGCCCTTTTTCCGGAAAAGCGTCCGTGGCCAATGTAGACGCGCTTCTTTGGAAAAGAGCCCCGAGCGTCATTTTCACGATCGGGGCTTTTTTCCGGAAAAGACTACTGGGCTGTCTACACTGGCCCTTTTCTGGAACAGTGTTCCGGAATAAGGACTTATGCCCGAGGGGGAGCAGAATAGTTTTTCCAGAATAGCGGCTGATTTTGTACAGTAGAGCATCGTTGCTTTTCCGGAAATTCAAGGGCCAGTGTAGACAGCTTGCAGCTTATTCCGGAAAAGTGGCTGATTTTCCAGAATAAGTGGCCCAGTGTAGACACAGCCATGGTGTCTGCTTTATGCCTATCCTTAGAACAAGGGGGCGGGGAAGAGGGCAGGTTGAACCAGTCTTACAGCTCATGCCTGGCAGGCGTGAATCAGGCTGGCTCAAGTCCTTTTCCCCCCAACTCAGTTCACTCAAGTCTGGAAGGGGGAGGCTTGTACATCTGAGACCCCTTACAATGATGGTGTCTCTCCTGCAAGCACTGGTGTCATATTTTATAGTTCCCACATTTAGGGGTAGCATGATTTGTTACCCCACAACAACCCAAATTACTTACAATACATCACATTCCATTCTAACAACCGATCCTCCATCAGCCCTGACTGAATCGAATTTACATAACCACACCCTGGATTCCTTCTCCATCCCAGCATGAGCTGTATTTACATATCAACAGTTAATTATCTTGCAGGGCTAGACAACTTCAGCTGGCTGCATTGCAAACAGTCCTTCAGACCCTTGGCTTACACATTAAACTTGTAGAGTAAGACAACTAGAAAAGCAAAACCTCCTCAGAGTTTGTTTATATATAATAAAAATCAGCTATTACAGACTTCATATGAAACCAACTGGATTACTAAATTGCATTCATTTTAGGCTTCTTTTGATATTTAAAGGTCACTTTGCCTCTCATTCTTTTAAGCAGAATGAAAAGCTATTTAGTCAATTCAACCATAG